AAAACACGTGCTAAGAGTGTGAAATTAAGAAAAATCCTTTCATTACTTTATAACTGAAAACAATGGGAAGTGGTGGAGAGGCTCGTAGTATCCTCGGCTGCGTTATGAACAAGTTTTCATCAGTACTTTCACCGATTCAAAGCGACCAGCTTGCTTCTGTATTCCAGGGATGGCACACTCTAATGGTTTTGCAGTGCTGACGCGTGTTCATGGCTCGCTAGGGGAAGGAATGTTTTGCAGGACAGTTTCGTGAGGATAAAGAGCGCTTTTCGCCCAGGGCGTCGCGGTGCATTGGCATGTTTGAAGAAAAATAGAGAAAGCAACTGAGACTCAACACAGTAAGAATTGTACTTTCCGCACGAACGGCGCGCTTGGGTATTTTAAAGCCCGTGAACTGCACATAATTCAGCCCTGCACAGATCCTCGGCTTTCTCTTTCCGCCTTTTTTACCTCCTGATGCACACGTGTATTGTTCCTATAAACCTTTCGACTAAATAAAAGGGCATCGCACGCGTGCTCCTATAAAAATTGTCACAATCTCTGTTGACTCGACTCGGGGGCCTCTTTTCTCTTTTGCTTTAAACTTTTCGAAATTTTGCATGAAGAAATGGGCTGACGGTGGCATCGACGGCATAGGACGAGTCACAGATTTTTATCTCTTTTCACGCTCGGTAGCAAGCAGCTACGAGTTAGTAGCAGCTAGTCTTTCCTCAACCATTGGACGTAATACCGGGAATATTATTACGCGAGGCTTTCAGAAAATTTCCCATTGTTTTGTCTTGCGCGATTAAGGTCGATTTCCGAATATTTTTATTTCCCTTAGTTGTTTTTTTTTCTTCTTTTTTTTTTCCACTACCATTTATATAATCGAATGATTTGTGGATGAATGCGAATGAGTATGGATTTACAATTTCGATTTCTCCAATTTTTGTGCCATTTCAAAATTTCATATATTCGATTTATCGAAGATTTCAATTATCAATGAGATATATTTATCGAACAATTCTGTATACATTTTGTATACGTTGCACAATAATAATAACAATGTTGATGTATCATTGTATCAAAGTCTATTTGACTACTTTACAAAACATAACTATCGTAAAATCCAAAACATTCAATCGAATTAATTATCTGCCAATCAGGTATTAAGTATTATTTATTATATTGATTAAATAATCGACAATCGGATACTTTCGAATAACAATCACATATTTGAAAATAAATAAAACTATTGAATAAATAGTGCTTTCAAAGGTAATTAGACAAATGTATGTACATAAAGTATATTCAAATATTTGCATTAAGCCATATTGTTTTAAGCGCATATTATTATATGTATTTGTTTCTACTATTCATAAAAATAAATTCTTTATTTTAATCAAACATATAGATATTTATGGAGATAAGTTTTCCATGTATTATTGAAATAATCAAATTTCTATTCACAAATGCAGTTTAGCCGAATACTATGTATAATACTATTATGATTGAATTATTTAAACATTATCGATGATTATTAATATATTGTCTAAGTATTGAAAAATTTACCGGTTTGCTTTTATAATAATAGCGCAAGATTCAATAAATACAATATTTTTCTAATTTTGGAAATAAAATATAGTTTAATAATAAATAAGGTAAAATTAAATTAAATTAATATTAAATTAAATAAAATATAGTTTAATATTAAAAGAAAAATTTTATCTATTACTTTAGTAATATTAATATAATGTCGCTTTTCTTTATTAATTGTTTCATTCGAACAGTGTAACATAAACAGTTGTATTTACTTATTTATTTACATTAATGATTTGTTACGAGTAATGAACATTTCTACATTCGTTTTAGTTTCTTGTGCATTTATAAATTAACGAATCATATTGTATTCAACTATTTTATTTATTCTACCGTGGTGATATCACTCTTATTTGCTAGACTGTCAAGAATCTGGTAAAATAAGGCTCATAGTTTAATAATTTTTCCTATCGAGGAATATTTTAATTATCTTTTTGTAGAGATAAATTTATAATGACAATGGTAATGTAAAATACATATATGCCTACAAAATATTTTGTCGTGTATTTTGTACAGAATTAAGTAAATATTATCAAACGCCGTTTAATACTAGATTAACATGCGAGAAAGTTTGCACATAGATTGAACATTATAATTTTTTTCTTTATGTATATAACGCTAATACTCTCCTGAGACGTATAATAACGTATATAATATCAGCAGATACTTGAGCTTAATAAGTTCTGTTTTAAATAAAAAAATTTTCTCATCCCTCTATTGATATATCTCATTGGATATTTATATTTTATATAATCGTCAAAATAATCTTCACAACTGAATTACTCAATTAAGATATTAAATAATTTTAAATATTGCATAATTAAATTGCTCTTTATTGTGTAATTAACTTTGTATGAAAAAAGAGAAAAAAAAATATAACATCTTAATTGTTAAAATTGTGCTCATATGATAAGATTCTGACTTCTGAATATGATCAAATTTTGTCGTCGGCATTGCAGTTTTCTGCTTTCGTAACTGTACTTACATCGGTAGATAATAGATATTTGGAAAGTCAAGTTTCCCCATCGAAGGTATACTTTTTATCCCCCATCTTTCACCATTTCATTATTTAATAAAATACACACAGTTAAATACAAAATTAAATGTAATTATAAGAATTATATAAAATGTTAAGCAATTGTTAATAACGTAGGTAATAAAGTGATAGAAATTGTCATTTATAGTATTAAAATATTAGTATTTTAATGTAGCGTTTCTAGTCTATTTTTGTATTAATATTTAAGGAATTTTAAAAATTTATTTCTTGACCAACATTTTATGAGTAATGTTTGACCATTTTTATCAATACTTTTCTTTTACTATTATTTTATAACAGTTTCAGCAAAATATACTGCAAGAATATTTTATAATTTTTTTTACTACGAAAGGAATGACGAAAGGAATCATAGGTCCGCAGTGATTACTTTTATTGAAATCAAATTCTTTCATCTACAAGTTTTACAAAAATTAATTTTTGTATGTATAGAAACATAACACATCCTCTTATTTACTTCTATTTATTTCTAAAAATCCATTCGCTATACAATTTATATATCTATTATCTATGCATATATTTGTGTATATATGTAAGATGTAGAAAGTTATAATTATTGTTAAAAAAATTATTATTTATGATGAAAGCTATTGATTAGAAAATGTAACTTCGTATTATGGAACAAATTGAAAAATCACTCGAAAACTCTATGGGAATCAATAATATAATTAATGCTCTAAAATTTCTTATGCCCATATATATGGACAAAAAATTCCTATACTATATCATATAATATTAATAATAATTATTATTATTATCAATTTATTTATTATCAATGAAATAGAATAATTCTTTAAATGTAAATATTATCTTTAATCGTACGAAGGAATTATTATAATTCATAAATGCACGTTCTTTGAAAGCATTTAATATTATAAAACTGATTATTCGTAATAATGTATCATATGCGATGTGTTTTTTTTTTCTTCTAAAGTAGTTATATAAAGAAAAAGTTACACGTTACACTAAGTTACGTAGTTATTTTGTTACAAAGATAAATTCTAATAATTATCTACACTCCTAAAACAGTTAATAAGTCTTGACGTAAATATTAATTTAATTCATATTATCAAATGTAAAAAAATTTTAATTTAATTATAAATAACAATATTAAGTTGTTAAGAATAACATAATTTTTTTTTCCTTGGAATTACAAAGTTATTTGTTAAAGTTTTATTTAATTATTATTGATGATAAATCATCATTAGGTATTAAAAAAATATATTAATTTAATTTATATTATGATTCGAAATACCAATAATTTGAAAAATTTTTAATTACCTATTAACGCGATAATTATATAAATTTAGTATTTCGTCGATTCAGTATGTCCTATTCCATTTTATAATAATAAACACGTGCTTTGTATAAAATGAGAATTTTGCAAGTATCGAATGAAAATCTTTGTATTATTTGTTAAAACAAAATTTTTTTCTATTTGGAATCAAAGGAAGGTTTTATTATTTCGGATATTCTAAGAAAGTTTTGATCAAAGTTGATAAGATAATGTAAGTCTCGAACGTCTGCTCGATTAAATAATATTTTGCAATATGAAATATATTTGATAAATACATTGTGATCACATATTAATATTACTTTTGCTGATTTGAATATTTTAAACAAATAGGTATAAATTTTGGAAAATTTAGAAAAGAAAGAAGAAATTTTTTCTAATTTCTTTTGTGATTATTACTGTTTATCATAATAAAGTTTTTATTCACTTTATTTCATTAACATTAAATTAACGACGCATTTGTGATTTCAAATTTTCAAATGCGATATTGGAATACTAAGTTGTATATGCAAGTGTCTGACGAAGTAATTGAAATTGAATTATAATTATTATCTATTGAAAGCTACGAAAAAGGAATTATTTGCTTTTATTATATCAAGATATCAAGGTTAATAAAATCAGAGCAATAAAGTTGTGAATTATTATTTCTAATATGTTATTAAATCAATGACCGATGCATAATGGCGGACTCTCGTTTCCTATCATTTTCTTTTCAATAATCTATTAAGCATTCAATGATGAATTCAATGAAAGAGGTATATATAATGTATAATAAAAATTTCAGATTTTCAAAAGCATTTATAACACAAGGTTAACGCTTGTTATTCGTATTGAAATTAAATTAATTGTAATTATATTCGCGGCTCAAAATATAATTTTTCTATTTCATTTTTAATTTTTCACGCGACTGAATAAGTCAGAGCGCCTATGACACAACTTTCGGAGCACTGCCAGCATCAGTTTATTCTCGATCGTTGCTTTGCGTACTTGAAATATACCTACGACCAATTCACGCATTCAAGTTGCCATATATTTTTATTGGAGTGTTAAGGCTGCGTCTTTGCAGTACATAGAAAATTTTATAAAATGAGTGCTGATTCGCGGGAGAATGGAAGCATTTGGATTATCGGTAAATACTAAGATTCATAACTCCCTACATTAGTTCACAAAATATTATATTCCATATAAAATACAATTTCTTTCCAACATAGACGAACATTTAAAACCTCCAAATCCAATTGCTGATTACGATAAAGCTATAGCGACAACAGGTATGTCATTTTTTTTTTTTTTTTTTTTTTTTTTTTTTTTATTATTTTTATCAACGTTCAATAAGTTCAAAATATTTTTTCCATATAAATACTTGAAGAATATTTATATAAATGTATTCGATGTCGTATATTACGATAAGAAATATTTTTATTGCATTTTATTTGCTGAATGTGCGCGTGTGTGGGTGTATATAATTTATAATTTATAATTTATAATTTATAATTTATGTGTTGATTAGATAGATAATTATTTTCTAGCACAGTGATATTTATAAAAATTTTAAATTCTTTTCTCTACAAAAATATGTAGGATATAAAATTGGAATTTTAATTTAATTTTCTCAATCTATTAATAGGACTATACAAATACAAAAACAATATTGAACTAATTTTACAATAAAAATTGAGGCTTCCATAATTGTCTTCAAATTAATAGAATGTCTTACGCGAACAAATTAACTCTTAAGTGCCTCTGGAATTTATAACACTGGTATTTATATAGATATGGCGACATTATTTTTACATTCTTCAGAAAAGAAATATCTTCATTGCTTGACGTATGCGCTGCAAAATAAAAGTTTTTATTTCTTAATTTGATTTATTTACTTAATGTCACCCATACGATATAATATTTATTATATCGTATTATATCGTATTATCTATCAAACACTATATTAATCTATATTTCAACATATTACAACATATTTTTAATTAAAATATAAAAATATTAAATATATTATTCTTAGTTGAATTTCAATCTTTTTGTTTATATCTCAAAGGATATGGTCTCTTCAATATTTTATTACTGTTCGCTGCATTGCCTATTGGATGGACCTGCATTATTGATACTACTAGTACAGCTTTTATTATTAATTCAACGGAATGTGTATTCGAACTCACGACATTTCGAAAAGGCATCGCTATGTCTAGCATATACATAGGTCCTACACGAGAACTTTTAAATCACACAATATATTTTCTCATTATATATTACACTACATTTTTGTTATTTAATTTACAGTATTTTTTTATCGCAGGAATGATAATATCCGGTCCAATATGGGATTTCATATTAAAAGACAGTATTATTGATTATTTAGGTAATAAAAACATAATGATTATCGGAATATTGTTAGATACGCTTTGCAATATTCTTTCGGCACACGCTACTTCGTTTTCAATATTTATATTGCTTAAGTTAATTAGCGGCATATTGTAAGTATTTGTATATAATTAGGTATCAGAATAAAAATACACATAATCATAATTATGTCGCAGAATTGCTGGACCATTGTCCGTAGTTATGGCTTATCTTGCAGAATTTCATTCCCCTGCATATGAACGAAAATTCACTAGATGGGCTGGTCTGCTGATTGTAATATCTAATATAATTCCTCCCGGTATTATAGCATTTTAACCCATTACATATTAATAAATTAATAATTACAATTATTCATAATATGACAATATAATTTCAGAGTCATTACCCAAATAGAAAAAATTTCAGACTTTTTATCTTAATTGTAAATACTTGTTATTACGAACCAAAAAAACTTTTAATGTATTTATGACTGAATTGTCAATGAGCGCTCATTATAAAGATAAAAAAATTTGTTATTTTAATGAACTTTATATTAGAAGCTTTGTAATTATATTATGATAAATGTTATATTATACGTGAGCATTAGCTTTTCTAACAACATAAAAATTTACATAAATCAAGTTAAGATGGGAAGTCACGGTAGATAACGCTTTTTCTCTCATTTAATTAACATCAATTGATCACATTTCTTTTACTCACTAAAGATAAGTCTATTTAATCACTATAAATTTCAAATTAATTGTTGTATAAAGCGATTGTACCTTTTTGTTTAGCTGTGGCTGCCATATTATTATCACGCACGTGCCAGTTCAGTTTTACAATTTACCAACATTTCTATCCAACTTGGCGAGTTTATCTATTGATGTGCGCAATACCATCTGTATTAGGATTATTGACTGCATGTTTTATGCCAAATAGTCCGAAATTTCTCCTGACTCACGGTAAAAATCGCGAGGCTCTACGGCTTTTCAGAATTATGTTTTCAATGAATAATTTCAAATCATCTAGTGAATATGAGGTAGTTGACAATGACTTGACTTGTCTAATTTTAAGATATCTAATTGTTTCAATATCATTGCAATTTTCAGATTAATGAATTAGATTTTCAACAAAAGATAAGAAGAAAAATAAATATCACTTGTAAAGTAACGTTGTGTGAAAGTATTTCGAATTTAAAATTGCTATTCTCAACCAATTATGTAAAGACTATTTCTGTTATTTTACTTCTTCAATTTTCTAGTATGATTGGGTAGGTGTTTTTATAATTATTAATAAATACAATATTATCTAGTGAGTAATAGATAAGTGAATAACAAGGTTAATAATTCTATAATAGATAAAATTACTTTTGAAAAAGGATAACGAATTAATTGTAAGGAGCAAATATTTGTTGATCCGTGAATTGATGATGTAAAATTATTATCTAAGAACTTACGAATCACATCGTATTTACTATGATTTCTCCCAATCGTAACCTCCTTACAATATTTCTTACAATATTAATAAAAAAAAAAAAAAAAAGAAAAAAAAAAGGTGTCTTTTTACAGATAAGAAAACATAAATTTGTTTAAAAAATACAGTGAATATAATTTTCTCTATCACGACATAAGTTATTTTCAGATTTAATGTAATGAGATTGTGGGTGCCATCGGTTTTCGTGGTTCTAAACAACTTTAGAGTCCTTCTCAAGTCGTACTATCCGACAAACGAATATATAACTATGTGCGAAATGATTTTCCCACGCATTAAAAAAATCAATTACGCATCATGCAATTATACTTTGGTAAAGACTCATACGTCGAAAGAACTTTAAAATGCTTTGAAATTATTCTTATAATTTTAATATATTGTTGCGTTTGCTTGAATATTATTGTTTGGAAATTTTAGCCAAGCGTCGAGTCTGCCGTTTATGTTAATTCTACAATAATCGCAACGTCCGCCGTTACTTTTAGCTTTATTTTCGCTTTGTTAACAGATGCAAGAATTAAAAAAATTTGTATAACATGTGAGTATTATGATACAGTGTAATCCGTACATTCAGGAAACAAAAATGTTAATTATTAAAGTGAAATGCATTTTCTGTTGTTAGTTATTATGTTCTTACTATCAGCTGTTGGAAGCTTTGGAGCAAATTGGGTAATACACATACCATACATGCTTGTACTACTTGGATTCATTATAGTTGCCTGTCGAATAACTAGTAATTGTATTATAGCATATAATGCACAAGTTATGCCTCAATTTTTAAGGTAATAGTGATTCCGAGCAGATCAATTTAGAAAAAATTTTCATTAAAAAAAATATGTAATGAAAATTGAAAATTTTTTCTTAATCATTAAAAACCAGCTTATCTCATGTTTGATGTAAAACTTATAATTTTAGGATAACGGCATTTAATGTAATTAACTTTATTGGTAATTGTGGCGCAGCTGCAGGGAATGTAATATTTTCCTTAGTTTTAGGATTAGATTGTGTAAGTGCTTTTCTAAGCATTGGATGTATAGCAATAGGTAATCTATTTATTTTCAATATTAACTTAAAATTAATTTCAATATTAACAATATTACAATGAATATATTTATTTTATTTAGTGGGTTGTGTAGTAACGATAATATTATTCAGACAGCCAAATCATGAGACTAAATGTGAAATAGAATGATACTAAAAACATTGATAATTTAACTCAATTTTTATACCATAAAATACATAGAAGATTTTTTAATTGTTTATATTTTGCCGTAATTAAGTTATATAGCCTACAATAATTTCAGTGATAATGTAGATGCTTAAGGAGAGAAGAAGGACACGTCCATTAAAGTATAATACATAGGTTATAAAAAAACAATATTAAAGGTGAAAATTAGATACATGAATTGTATGAAAATAATGTAAACTAGTGAAATTTCTTGCAATGAAAACAATATATATGTTGCACAAAATATAAATAAATAAAACTTGAAGGTTTAAAAAATTTAGAGAGTTATTAATAATTCTATAAAGGAGAATATATTTTTGTAAAATTTACTTATTTATACACGTTTAATAATATACCGCTTAATAAAGATTTTATAAAATTCTCGAACTATTATCATGTTACGTTTTTAAATGTTTATCTGTCGTTTTATTTCTCTATCATTGATTTTCATTGTTAATCAACCCCGAAGAAGGAAAGAAACGATTAAAAATGTCATTTGATATCGTCATTTGATGCGTTTTAACAAAGACAGTTGACAAAATGTAAAAATTACTGATTGAAAAAAGCTTCCTATAAATCGATAATAACCTTTGATCGACCGTACTTAAGATATTTTCCGTTATTAACCGATGGTAAAAAAAATTTTCCATACTTTGATCAACGATTGCATTATCAATTAATAGAACTGTTGCAACTACAAACGATATTCTTAATTCTGTACACTAAACGTAGATGTCAGGATCATCAAATTACGAGTGGAAATGAATAATTTTCACTGTCAATGTCGATAAATAAATAGTTTGCTTAAACTACTAAATAGGATAAATATGAACATATTTTTATTTTTATATTTTAAATTTTTACATTCAATATATCCCATGATAAAAATCACATACTGTGGAGCTTCATTAAATAAAAATTTACCAATACCAATAGTACACTTCAAGTTTATTCATTTATTCAAATTTTTTATTTCACAATTTTATAATATTGTTATTATTTAATTACAGTATTGTAAAATTATATAGTATTGTCGATATTCGTGCTTGCGAAGTTTGTGATTGAGTGTGTTCGCTAAAATGTGATAAAATTTTCAAGGTATATTTCCATACTATTTACATAAATAATTTATTATAATTGATAATTATGATTATAATGAATTTGAATAATTAAACGAAATGATAGGCTCAAATTTTTTACGTTACTATTAGTTACTATTAATGTAAATAAAAACTTCGCTCAATGCAGAGGAATTAATTATAGTAGAATATCGGAATTATATAAATAGAAGAATGAGACAAAGAATTTTGCCGAAGATGGATTGCAGTATTTTAATCTAAAAATGTAACTATAATAAATTATAAATTGATTATAGTGAATTATATGTATTACCTTAATTTATCTTTTTAAGAATCTCTTACGAATACATAAAGTATTGTAGTAATAAAATAATTAAAAAAATTATTGTTATACTATTTTCAAAAGCAGAATATAAGAAATCCATATCATTGGCTGAATATTGCATATTAATTAAATTACTTTAATAATTATATTATCAATAACTTTTTCAAGCTTCTACTCTTAGTTGAAATAATTAACGCATTTGCATAGCAATATTTTTACACATAATTTCAAGAATATGATTGCTCATATTTGTTTATATAACACTAGTCATCCAAGCTAACTATTCACATACACTGACTTTAAAAATCATCGATTTTTAAAATACAAATAAGACAATAATAGTAGTAATAAATATAATTTAAGACATCCAGTCATTCTTACGATACAACTATCGGAACTTAAGTATAAGGAATAATCATTTGCCTTAACTCTCTTCCGGATTATTATTACCGTGGACAAGTTGTGGCAATTGTCTTGACTAGCAAAATTTATAATTTAAACCGATTAAAGGACGAGGTGCGTCTCGAACAAAGATAGAAATCAAACTGTTCAACAAGGTACACGATTCTGGATATCGACATATATCGCATCCGTGCGGGCTTGTCGAGCATAAAGGCCCTTTCAGGAAGCTCGACACGACGTTGCTTGTGCTATGGAAAATGCACAGGTCATATACGGGGACAATAGTTATTGCTGGATGGCACAAGCTAAATATATTGTAATGATTTTGATTTGACTGCTCCATTAAACCGACAGGAGGCTCGGTATTACACCGCCAAACTCCTATTACAACGGAATAACACGATTCGTGGATATTAATTAATTCGTTATTAAATGCTGGTTTTTTTCTTAGATGAAAAAACAAGAAAAAAAAAAATTAGTATCTAATAGGCAATCTCGTTGTGAGAGTTTATACAACTTTATGAAAAATTATATGCAATTTATAGAATTTTCATATTAGTCTCGTGTACTTTGTCCAATTGGAATTACCACTTTCATTATAGAAAACACTATTACAACGCACTTGTTTGTGTAAACGTTTATGTTAACATTTCTATATTGTAATAAATTACCAATCAGACATCATAGATTTAGCGATATTAATGGTAATAATTCCAAAACAAACGTTAACTTTCATTTTATAGATTAAATTAATGCTGCTCGAGTTAAATATTAACAATAATACATATTCGTCTCATAAGGTATGAATAACGCTAATAATAAGGTATGAATAAAGAATAAATAGACTTAATTACATAAAGTTTATTTCTACTTCATCAAAATCAAAATCTTTTACATCGTGGATTATGTACGGAAATTATTAAATTAATAGTTTAAATATAATGGATGCCTATATATCGACTATTTACTGTATCTATAACAATTAATACTCTAAAATAATTATAACATAAATACTAAAAATGACGCATCGGAATTATGTATTAATTGCATAAAAATATTGAAAATGTAAAAGAAAAAAGTTATCTAACGCTCTTTCTCCTTTTACTAACGTTTTTCACTAATGTTTATGAAACTTTACTTACAGAATGATGGAAATAATTTTGCAATAATATTATATTTCTAATTGAGTTCATTGACAACTATTACCATCACTATTTTTATATTTAAAAATCTTAAATATTATTAAAGAAAACTATAATAAACCAACAATTATTATTTTATCGATAAAAGTTTCTACAGCGTTTAATATGATCTATTTTTCTTTTGATATTTCACTCATTTTTCAAGCTTTTAAAACGTTATTCTTAATTTTTTTGAAACATATTACAATACATTAAAACAACTACATTTATTATTTAAATGGACTAACCTACGTCAAAATAATTCGAAATTATTGCTGTTGAAATTAGTCTTATGATTATATGAAGTTGCTTAAAGTGTATGTAATAATGATTCCCCGAGGCAATTTTTTTCATGATTAAAAAAATATTTTTAATTTATAATAATGATAATTGATTAGATTAATAAACGATAATTCGAACTTTTTGATTATATCTATACCAATAGCGGCTACTAAACAAACTAGTTACAATTGTTTATTTTCTTTTAACGAATCATGCGAATTAAGAAATGTATATAAATTTGTAATTTATTTTTTTCGAAACTGTTGGATTTCTTGACTCGAACTACCAATGTTTCGATATCTTTATAATAATTGCTTGGGAAGCAGTTAAGTGGAAGGGCTTTAGTTTAACAGAGTACGTGCGTAAGAATAGCAGTGCGTGGAATACTTGAAGAATACTCACTCCCGTGATACAACCGGGAAGTACAACGTTCGGATTCCTCTAAACTTATCTGCCAATCCTCCCGGTAATACATACAACACCGCGCGTGGCTGCTTATAGAGCCTATTAAAGAAATTTCCGAGAGACCAAGAATACCAACGTCAGTATCAACAATTCATGAAGGAATATGAGAATCTAACTGCTTCTTCAGTGTCCAATCATCGAATTCAATATTATCTGTCACATGACGGCGTGTTCAAACCAGACAGTATTACAAGCAAATTAAGAGTGATATTCAATGATATCAACCTGACATCAACATCAAGTCTGTCACTCAACGACACCATACACACTGTACCCAATTTGAATCCAGGCGTATCAGACGTGTTAATTTAAATCAAAAGACACAGGCATCTCTTTGCCATCGACATCACCAAAATATACAGACAGATAAGAATCCACAATGATGACTGGGACCTTCAGAGAATCCTGTGGATGGACGAGCAAAAGGCAGAAGTACCATATCATTTGACAACAGTCACCTACGGAACAAAAGCTGTCCCATTCTTCGCAGTCAGAACATTACTTTCAACTAGTCGAGGATAAGGAAGCCAAATTCCCTTTTGCCATGCCATCCAGCATCCATGACAGATATGTCGACGACCTTTTTGCAAGTGAACAACTGGTTGAAGTAGCCCTCCAATTACGAGACCTCTGCATGGCGGGCGATTTCCCGTTGTCAAAATGATATGCTACGCATTAAGATGTTATCGCGGCAATCAACGCTGATCGAAATGAGACTACAATAAAGTTCGATGATTGCCATAAAAAAATACTTGGCTTAACATGCTATCCGCGAGAAGACAAATTCACATTCACGACAGGCAAACCTTCAGTGGAAATTAATAACCTTAGGAAATGCCTCGTCTTATCTGATGTAGCCTAGGTATTTGATCCATTAGGTTTTGTATCACCCGTAGTGATTAAGGCAAAAATCTTCACAGGGGAGCTGTGGTTAGACAAGCTACATGGCTAATTATCAGTAAAGATCATTCGTTCGTCAACCCACCCGCAACGCCTAACGTGGAAGTGGGAAGCTGTGGTGAAATACCCATTGAGTGTTGTTTTGTGAGAGCAAGGGTGATGAATTGTCTGTATGGGGATATAAAGCCATCGGTTGCGTCGTCACTGATTACTTCAATATGTACCGCAGATGTAGCAAAATACACAAAAACGCAAATCCCCTTCCAGATTTTTATGTTTAGGTTAAGGGGCCGGCATAATCAACTTCGGTGTGATTAAACGGTCGTGATGTTGTGACTCTGGAAACTGGTAATTGTCCCATCAATTGATGAGCATGGATTCCCCTTTGTCGCGCAGTATGTGTTTTTTTTTTCTTTTTTTTACAGGGAATCTCCCACTAAGAATCCAACAGTGTTGGTGTATGTGAGCCAACGTTAGCTGCCTGCCTGCCCCCGTGGAGACTATCTTGGTGTGCTTAGTTAAAGACGAGAGCTGAGAAGTGTGAGTAACATGGGATGGGAGTGAATGGCCGGGTGCTTGTTTTCTAGGGTGAGTAGTGCTCTCTCGAGTCTTCCACCACTACTTTGATTGCTCGTTGATGGTAGACATGTGCTGTCAGTCAACTGAATGCATGATTCTCTGGTAAGTAAGCCTTGGAGTAAAGAACTCTTAATTCTTCAGAGAGGGACGCTGATTGAGTTGCCTTTATCCGGAAGAAGATCCTTGCCTTTTCCAAGGTTTCTATGTTCATGCTCATCTCATGGTTTTTTCTAAATCGTGCGATAAATATGAGACAGAGTACTGTCGTTCGCAACATTTCTCAGGAATTTCATTACCTGTGGATTATGTCCCATTGACATTGTCTCTTAGCAACGTCTCTTTACCCTCACGACTATCAAAGAGCGTCTCTTTGGCCCCATAAAGCAGAACGTGTTGCCCGTCTTGACCCGTTCTCGCTTTAAATATCCTCGCGACGGGACAGTTGAAACTGATAACGATGGAGGCGGCTGGAGTGCAAGAAGCAATTGGATCGACAGTGTATCTTAGATTTTTTCAGAGATCCGACAACCATTGGACTCTTCCCCAGCTGGCGAACATTTTCTGGTTTTCCACCAGATGCGCAGCTACAACGGTTTTCCCCAGATGTCTTCCACACTCGCGAGAGGTTCTCGTAATCTTTAACATAGCTATATAAGTTATTATATTTATAAGTTTATTATAAATAAATTATTACATTTTAATATAAATATATAAATAATGGCCTTATTTTAATAGAGTCAAAGAAGAAATTATAAATTCTATAATATTTATGCAATTATAATTCTTTGTATTTCCCTATTAATAATTAAAAATTATTTACAATTTAAAGTTGAATAATATTTATAAATAATTATCAAGGCATAAATAAACACTTGTTTTGTCAAAATGCCTATGTAATGACAAATGGTCAAAATAAAAATAAAAATATAATAATAATATAATAATAATCGTAGTCCCCATTACATTAATAGGGTAAATAATTATATTCAATTGATTTTTAAAATTACATGAAAATTTGAATAAACAGTATTAATTATTGTATTTATTTTTAAATTATTGAAAGTAATGTGCAATTTTATCAATTCAAATTAAATATTTCCTGAAATACTATTCTTCTTTTTCATTGATAACACGAGGTAGAGAAAGTATTCGTAATTAATTAATAATTTATTTATTTAATTATATAAAAATGAAACGTATCGGTAAAGCTTTTATAATTGCCGTTGTCGAAAATATGTAGAAACATGGTTTAGTAAAATACTGTGGATGAATTGCCCGTACGTTCAACGTCAATATTATTTTATTGATTTATTAATACGAAAACAAATATATTTTCAATCAATTTAATAATTCTGAAGCTAATTATTGTCACAATTAAATATTATATTTATTATGTGTACAATGTCACCAGAGTCATATGTACAATTTTTAATAGATTTGTGTTAGAGCACCGTTATGTTTTTGTACTTCTTATTTAATTTTTTATTTAATAAAATTGTTTTACATAAATCAATTGAAACAAAACATTCGATAGAATTTGTTGATTCTGTCAACACAGATGACTTGATAATTTAATTGATAATACACTCGGTAATAAAGAATAAAAAGCAATAAGAAATAATATAACGATTGTAATATTGTAAATGATTTTATTTATAATATTCTATCCTATATAATTGTTTTATATATACTATTATCTCATGAAATTATAAAAAATTTTTACCCGATAAACAAAATATATGCCAATTATCAATAAAGTTTTTTGTTATAAACATAATATTATTTATTTATTTTTGTAGAATTTAATGTATATTGAATTTTTTAGGTAAAGATGTTTTGTAGAACAATTGGACTATCTAATGACAGTACATATTAACAAATTTATTCATTACTGTTGAAAATCTTTTTTTCCTAAGTTTCTTTTCGACTTCATATTGTATTGAATAATGTTTTATTATTGTCTGTATTAAATATTTTCTCAAAATCACGTAAATAATTTCAAATCAATATATCCTCAATATTATTAGTGTAATTTTCTATCCTTACTCGATTGCCATTTATTATTTCTCTTTATTTATATGGATATAAGTTCCTTATGAATAGCATAAAACTAACATATATACATATATCTATATATAATGAAAAATATTATAATTACGATGTATTGATTAACACATTAGGATTGATTTGATTTTCAGGTATCACTATTTATTCCCTTTTTCCATTATTTCATTAATTTACAAAAATATATTAATCGGAAGGCATGCGTTAAGCAACTGAATCACATAATCATTAATACAAATATCATACTGATATTCTTGCTCGTAATATTTCAATATAAAATCGCTTCAAACATAAATCTTCTTTAAATCTTTAATGTACTTCCCAATGCTCTGGTTATTCAATTCTTGACACCTAATATGATATTAAAAGAGATCAAAGTAATAAATAGTCACTACTTATAATAAAGAATCTACATGTAATATTTTAGGGATAAGCGCTAAAAAAAATTCCAACTACATTGCATCTATGCAATTTTAAGTGTTCGATATTGATTTTTATATTTTATTCATTGATTAATCGTAAAAAATGATATTTGCGCTAGATACTGTATTATTGTTAATAGACATTTTTGTTATAGATAAGTTAATATTACGGCGATGTATAAATTATTAATTCATTGTACTTAATTCTTTATGTAAATCAATAATTCCATTTTCACTATAAAATAAAATTATGTAATAGAAACAAAAATATATTTTTTTTATTCTGAACAATTATGAATTTTGATTGCTTTTAGATATTTGAAATAAATTATGAAAAGGCAATAAAATATTTACCTATTTTGTCCAGAAGAAAAAAGAAAATTCTTATTATATGTTAACATGATAATAATTTAAACGACAGTAATGATTATAGAACATCTATATCCATTAAAATAATGTTAAATTTATAAATTTCTACAAGTTAAAAAAATTGTAAAATATTATATAGAATTTTTCTCGATCTAGGAGTTATTATTTATAAAATTCGAAATAATAAAAGAAGAATTTTAAATTATATTTATTTAATATGTAAAATTGAAATATATATTTACTATTAATTTTTTATTTTACACGACAATATCTACTCTAACGGTTTAAAATTTGATCATTTAAAAAAAATTGTTGGCATTCAGGTATACAATAAGTTACAAGTGAAAGCATAATTTATAAAGGAAAGAGGCAGGTAAATCTACAGAAACATAAAATAGGTCGAACAGCAAGTGAGTAGGTATTAATTGAGGTAGGCATTAATGAGGGCAATTATTGCATATACAAAATGCTCATTATATATATATTTATTATCATCTCTAGGGAAATACTTTGAAAAAGAGAAAAATTTGAGATCTATAACGGATGATCAAGAGAGAGCAAAATTCTTTTACAAAATTCATTATATTGAATACAAGTATTGATTATTTGAAATTTTTATTTGATATATTGATTTTATTTTTTATTTCACCGGTTTGTCTGTTATTAAATTGTTCTTTTAACTATTTATAAAAAATTGATATTCGCAATAAATATTCATGTTACATTTTTATCATTTAGATACTTTTAAAAAAGGGGATAAAAAATATTTCTATACAAAACATAAATAGTATCAATGATATCCCATACATACTCCGCAAAATAATAAAACTAATAATACTTTTAAACTAATTGTATTATAAAAATCAAGAAAGTTTTCAATTATACATTTCTATTTACAAAACAAAAATTTAATTATTATATAAATAATTTAATAATGAATTAACTAGCTGGAGTATGAAAAATCATATAGCGTCGATTAGCAAAATAAAAACAATATACTGAAAATACATTTGTAATATACATATCATAAAAATATACTAAATACGAATACTAATAAAATAAAATATCGGAATTATATAAGAATAGTGAAAAAGAGAAATTTAATATAAATATAAAGGAATCGAAATGAATATAAGGAATCTTAAAATATTTAAATATGTAGACGAATAATATTAAGATATAATAGTTGTACATTGTTAATAGAAATATTTTAAAATTTCTTCAATGCTTATACAAGGATATGAGCTTCTAATACCAAAACTTGATAAACACTCAAATCTTTCAAAACATTTCAAAAGATTTTTATTTTAATGAATATAATTAATTTAATTATTAATATTAAATTAATAATAATTTATATAAACAAACATACCAATATTTATAAATATTTATATACATAATTCTTTTTAATTTGAATAAATGAATTTAAATATTAAAAATTTGCTGTTTTCCTTACTTATATACAATGATAAAGTAGTAAGTTATGTGATCATTGATATATCGATCGTGTAGGCAAAAGATTTTTACTAGCCTTGTTATTAATTTTTTTCATTCAATGTATTTAGTTCAGTTTCTGATAATCTGCAAAAAAGTAATATAATAATACATATCAAAGAAATATTTTTCTATTTGTTAGATTATTCAATCTTGCTGAATAAGACATAAGTCACAGTTATAATTCATTTAAACTAATTAATAATTAAATATTCTTTAATGTCAATGATATGATATCATTTGATAAATTTGAAAAAAATTAATATATAAAAGACAGGAGTTCAACTATTTATGTAAAATTATTCGAAGTATTTTGATATTTTTATCTACCGTATGTAATTTGATTAGATTTTATATTCGGTTTGTTTATCAGTACAATGAATAGTTCAATCGTATTTTGATAATAAAATATTTTTCCTGAATTGTTGATACGTGAATAGAAAAAGAGAAATTGCGTGTATATTCTTTATATTGTAAATCAAAAATTTTAAATTAATTTTAAGAAAATAACAATATGTTAAATGAGTTTATTTGTCAGGTAAATATTAGATAAAATTTTGTAAACAAAAAATTTTATGTAAACATCACAAATGCAAGACAACACCTTTGAACATTTTTTTTTTTTTTTTCATGGTTTTCTAGTTATGTAGTAGTATATATGTACTGTTAGGTTTATATATATAAAACTAATTTTACATTTTTATTATCCATTAATAGGACGACATTAATGATATGTTAGTAATATTACATTTTGAATTTCAGACAAATTTGAAATTTAAGAGCATTTTGGATATTAAAAATTATAATATAATTTATTAAATATATAACGTTTGTAATTTTATATGCACGATAGCAATAAATTTAAGTGAAAAGATATTTTTATATTTTTTATATTTATATTTTTATTTTATATTTATGTTTCCATAATTTACTATGAAAATTCCAAAATTGATAAAATAAATCGCTAGAATATGTAATTTTTTTATTTTTTTATTTTTTTATGAAAATTTACATCATATACAATAATTCAAAACATTTAAAAATTTAAAAATTAATCAGCAAATGGTGTTACATGAAAACATTAGTATAAACATCTACCAGTTGAATTAAATAAGCTCTTAACCATATAATTATATGAAAATCACAAATGAATACTATTTTAAATAATAAATTTTAATCAAATAAATCATGATTTTGAGTCGATAACATTTTCATGTTGAGAACACAATAAATTTGACGTTCAATTAACTCGAATTTTGCACACGAGAAGATGATATATGCCAGTATAGTTAACAATTTGATGCAGAGTAATTAAAAAATTTTCTTGTTTAAAATGTAAATAAATTTTGTTGAATTTGACATTAAATTCAAATAAATTGCGATGATTCGATTAAATTTTTTAATTATGAGATTAAGTTTACATTTAAGTACTATAAATTTGAAAATTTATCTTTTATCTACACGTACCTCGGTTATTTAGATAATTTATAATTAGTCACTCGCGGTTATTGATGTTCCATGCGTAATCCTTAAAATACCTCAAATGAGAATTGGCGATAATTTATAATAAAGAAGCTTACAGAAGGAAACTGCATTTGAAAATATATAAAAATGGAGAATATGAAAAATGATTGCTGAAGTTTGAAATTAGTGAATCGATACTTTTGTATTTAGCATTATTATTAAACTTATTATTATCGAAAAGAAGCTCTTAATTAATATACGATGGAAGATAATTTTGACAGTCAAAGTTAATTATACTAATAGGATATTTAATGTTCCAAAGGAATGTCGAATTCCACATTTTTCAAAGGGATAAATCGGATCACGTCGGACGTAGCGTAAAGCAAACGAGAAGGAGAAGTCGGCAAAGGAGAAACTTCAACTTAACCTCAACGGAGCTATCAACTACACCGTTTCCTCGGACAGCCACTGCGAGACGAATCTACAGCACCGCAAAACGCTCTTTTCAAGGAACAAGCCTCATTGCCCCATTCGACCTTATTAGGGCAATCTGATAACGATTTACTCCGTCATTGGAAGGCGAGAAGGAGAGCTTTTTACTCGGCCTATCTCAATCACCATAGCAATTTCTTTCAGAATTAACTCCAACAATATTTTTACTCAAACTTGTTGAATGTCGTCGTCGAAGCAATTCGATCATCTCGTCGCAAAGATTTCTTATATATTTATTGAATGTTAATATACATTAGTTAAAAACAAAACAAAAACAAAAAAAAAAAAAACAAAAAAAAAACAACAAAAAAAATCACTCACTATCATCGAGTAAATTTCATTATATTGCCTTGGACTATTAACGCTGGTAATTAGTAAATATTTTTTTAGCTCGATACCATCAAAGAATTTCTACTTATTATTTATAATAACATGCGCTGTCCCAACATCTAAAAGCTATTAATTCGAGATTCATGTTCATCCTATTAAGGAAATTTAACAAACGAATGCGCGGATGCACACATTTTTATCTGCACTACTATATTATATAATTTAATGACATTCATGGAGCTTAGATCTTATAAATTAAGGAATTATTAGGTACACTAAATGTCGAGGTACCAAGTTTTTACCGTACATTATTAAGTTTTATATTACGTACAATGGTAGGACATCGCCCATTTGCCTATAATGAGAATAGCGTCAATACAAAGCAATAACCTCTGATTTTATATTAATCTTTAAAATTTAATTAATACGAATTATGTAAGCTACGGGTACGAAGCATTGCGATACGAAGCTTCTACTCTTTCACCGCTGACCGATCTCACGTACAAATTCCATCCAAGTCCGAGGCCTATGTGCATGGTCGGTCATTTAATTACGTAAGACTTGGCTTATTCATTCATTCCTATAAATTTTCATGTACAACGATTGAAATGTGTGTTTTTGATAATTGAGAACTATTCATTTGCCCCTTCTTCTTTTCCTCCTATATAATTTTATGATTTATAATCGTTCACGATGTTTTAATTAATAGCTATTTATTGACATGGAGCTTAGAAAGTTTTAATATGCAAGAGTTCGTTAGACTCGTCATCAACGCCTGTTCGAAATATTTTGTACTTTGCAACTCTGGCGCATGAAAGTTGTATTTCCTGGTACAGAATATCCTAATGTTGGATCAAGCTTATTTTTAATCCCCGTCATGCGAAGCCATTTACGAAAGAGACCGATATTTTTTTTCT